TCGGATCTGACTCGGCGGGCTGTAGACACCATGGTTCAAACATTGTCTTTTTAAGTAAAAGTTAAAGTTCATTAAACACTCAATTAAAAAGGCTTGTAAGCTGCCTTTCAAAATTGAATTTTTACATGTGATTGTAAAAGAATGAAATGCTCTTATCAAGAAATTTGAATTTTTCTTTTCAATGTACATGACTAACTATGACCGAAAAAATATGTTTGTCATGTCAAATATTAAAAATTATATAACAAACGCTGTTTATCAATTCTATAAACTAACACATATTTAAAAATATGTCATCAGTTATAAGAATTTTATGAAAAACATAGAAGTCATTTTCCTTTCATGAAGTTTTTTTTTAATAATATTAATAGATGAACTAAGAATTAAATTGGTAAACATTTGCGATGATGATAAATTTTTCTTTTTTCTAAATGATAATGCATGTCTAAATAATACTATAAGCTGATTATCATGCAAGAATTTAATCCATTCTAGAAGCGAAAACGCAACACTTCAGGATTTGGATTTGCTCTATTATGCTATACAATTTAAATAAAAGCTTATAGATGAATTTTCACTCAAATTGATTGTTTATATATATTTTTTATTTTTGCTTAGTGTTCTTGTTTCTTACTCGTGGCAATCAGTTAACATATCAATTGTTGCACAATAACCACGAATGATTTCACAATCATCAAGTAAATTTGATTCTTTTAATCGTTTATATATGACAATTAAACGACTAGGATTTTCAAGATGAAGATCCATACGTTTACAATGACATTCATGTTTTAATGTGTCATCATCATAAGCAAGTCCTAGATGGAAAATAAAAGTAGACATGAAAAACCAAACTTAATATGAAAAATTCTACCAGTTGTAAAACGCATTCGTATTGTACCGGAAAGACTTTTTTGTACTTTTTTTTCTTTTGATGATGCCAACATTGATAGAGATGATAATGATCTGGAATGGAATGTTAAACGATCGATTGATAACTATGAAATATAAAATAAAATAAAATAACATAAATCAAATATTATTAATTTCTTACATTTGGATTTCGAATAGAAAAATCATTGGATTCAAAATTAAATAAATGTGGTTGACTACTATGCATTGAACTGTGACTATTATGAGGGCTTTGAATTTTTGCTTCTTGTAATTCTTTAGCTAATAATTCTTCGCTTTCTTCTACAACAATAAAATGTTTTGGATCAAGAATATTTGCGCGATGATGATTTTCATGTGATGTTGTTGTTAAAGAATTTTGTTCGGCATTTTCACCTAGATTACCTGAAAATTGAATTTTTTTTTTGTAAGAAAGAAACCGCTTTTTTTATTCATATGCTACCTGTTGAATAACAACCATAAACTGCACGTGGAAAACCAAGCCATAGTTGTTTTGGAGTAGGTAATTGAGCCGATTGAGAAGTAAATGGTATTAATGGCATTGTTGGAACTAAAGAAAATATATTTCTAAGTTAGATAATATAATTGTTCAAAATGGGAAAATTTTCTTTTTTTGTCTTATTAAAGAAATCATACCAGTAGGCTGTTGTTTTTGAGCTAAATTCGTTGAACGGTTTGGATGACGTCTATCTGACATAGGAGTAACTTGCTTATGTTGAGAAAGAAGACGTTGACGTAAATCTGATCTGATTTTAAAATTTCCTGATTCAAGACGAGGATTAGCAAGTACTGGTTCGGATTGAAATCGTCGAAGTATGTCATTTGAATCTTGATTTCTATTAAGAAAGTTCGAATAACGAATGTCTTTTTCTTTTTTTTTTCAAGTATTAAGATTTACCCTAGTTTGCCTTCTTTTTGTAATTTACGACATATAAAACTTTTTAAATGGGTTTTTACTTCAGCAGATGCATTAGCACCTAGAGTAGTCGTATTATGAACACACTTAAAGATAGAAAAAAAAACAGACGTGTGCTTACTTTGATTTTTTTTGTCTTTAGCTTGAACACGTAATTTTTCTTCTTCAAGACGTGTTTGTTCCATGGTTGATGTTGTAAGACTTGTAGTAGCTGTTGCTGTTATTACTGCTGCTGTTACTGATTCTTGGCTATCAGGATCAATCAAATGCGAATAAGGAAGCTAAAAAAGTGAAGAAAAAAAAATTAATATATGTATATTTATTATTTATTTGCTTTGCAACTATGTAATGCCCGTAACAATCTTGAAAATATAATCTTTATTCGATTTTTTGGTACTCTAAACGTGTATTGGACTAGGTTTGTTGCGACTTTTAGACACAAAAATAGCCTATGTATGTCCGCATCAAGGACGTAAAAAAGGTAATAAACAAAATACTACGCCTTATTCATATTTTCGTTTCTTTTGTAATAAATACTTACAAATACTGTGGAGAAAAAAGTTGAACTTCCGTCTTTTGTATTATTGTTATTACTATTGCCAGAGCCAAATGAATTATCACCCGGCAAAGCTGATACGCGACAAAAATCCACCATGAAGAAATGTTATGTACGAAATATAACTTTCTAGAATAAAAAAAACCAATAACAAATAAACACAAAGGAAAAAAACGAAGAGAAACGAAAAATGATATACTCTTTTTTTTTTTTTCATACTACTTTACATATGCTACTCTCATTTAGTTTTACTTTATCTCTTTGTATAGAGTGTCTGTCAGTCAGCTTTGGTCGAATATTTTTTTTTCTTTTCTTCTTCGTGTCTTATTTTCTTTCTTCGTATGAGATGAATAAAAAAGCAAAATCGAGTAACGAGAAAAAGGAAAAAGAGAAAGAAAAAGAAACTAAGCTCAGAACACGACACAAACAAGCTATTTACGATTTATATAGGAAAAATAGTGGTAAAGGTCATCATATTTTAATAATTAGTAGAAAATAAAAAGGCATTTATATCCATCTGACAAGTGATAATAGAGACAGATCCTTTATTTTGAAATAAAACTTCCTTTTTTTATGACCTACTTATTCTGTAAACATACATGTTAATTAGTTTCGTTGTTTTTTAGTACATAGAAAAAGAAAAAAAACTGTTGCGACTACCTAATCGCATCCTTTCACAATAACTGCACTTGAAGGTCAAAAACGCCTAAATTTCAATGCATTGGTGAACTGGCTTAAAGACATGTAAACAATGTTTGATGTATAAGAGCAAGGTTTTTTTTTTTATAGGTACTATCGTTTTTTCTATTAGCATAAAGGAAAAAAAAACAAGCAACAACATAAAATACTCAAATATACCTTTTTTTATGAATGAATAGACGAAGGAGAAGAAAATTGAGAAGAGCAGAACAGAATAAAACTAAAAATAGTAATAGTCCCAAGAGAACATAAAATTCTGCGCTAAGCGAAAGCAAACAAATATGCCTAATAAGCAAAAGAAAAAAAAAAGGAAATGTACTTTTTTTTTATGTCTCAGTTATCAAAATCTTGCTAACAAATAATCACGACCCTTTTCTTTTTGCATAATGCTTCACCTGTCGTTCTTTTCTTTTTTTTTTTTTTATTTGACCATTGTATTGTACTTATTGTTGTTTTTTGTTTATTCATGGGCATCAATTACTATTTTTATCAAACGTCTTTACCATACAAACTAGCTTATTATATTTTCCTATTTGCTCTTAAATCGATACTTCCGTTTTCCTACTATTTTTATCCATCATGATAGTGATAGCTTTGACACTAAGGCAAAGATTTACGATGTACTTAACGTTCTGATTTGGTATTCTGGCCATTAAATAATATTATCATGTCAAAAAACTAATTGAATCTATATAAGAAAAAAAAATTCTTCTAAGTGAAAAAACTTGACAGTTGAAAAAAACTTTAATATTCATCAATAATCTTTATAAAAATAAAATGTTGTCATGACTGTTATTCTAGAAATACAAAGTAGAACAACAATAAAGAAACCTAACAATAAGCGCCAACAGCGCCTCAGTATGTCATTGTGAGATAGACAAACACCGAATCGATAGAGAAAAAAAGAGAAGAAAAAATATAAGGCTGCGAATAATTTTAGCTGATGCTTTATTTTTTATCATTTAGATTTTTGCACCTTCAAGTAGCAACTAAAACAACAACATTTTTTTGCCTCGCTATTTACGTCGTCGTATTAAGATCGCGTGACATTTTTTGCTCTAGAATTTCTATTGAATAGAGATGTTCGTTTTAAAACATAATGGAACTATAAAAAATATAGAAAAAAATGAACAAAAAAAAGTGGACCACATGTGAAAATGGTAAAAAAAATAAAATCATTTACTTGTCCTTCAATTGAAAATACTTGTTAACAGAAAGTTACTTTTTTTCAAGAATAAACATGATTGAATTTGAACTACATGAATTAGTAAATATTGAAGTATGTCAAATGGTGCATGTTATAAATAGATTTTTGATAAAAAGATAGGAAGGCAAGGTAAATCTATTCGTTTTTTTTCTTCAACTGATGATGAAAAACGAATATGACAAATAACAAAAAAGTCGGCTGGGTCATGTAGAGGGCGTAGAAGTCAGGCATCAAAAGCTAGCAAATTTTTTTATTGGCGTTCTTATTCAACAAATAAACGATTATGTTTATTTTTCTTTTTTTTCACTCAACACTTATATCGTATTATTGACAATATATTTTATGGTTGATTGTATGTTGAAGGATTGTTATTTGATGTTGGTTACTACTAAATAAAGTTTATTTCAGTTATTTGTCGATATTTCTGCATTGTTAACGTACAAAATACAGACTATTCAGTCTTTTTTCATGATTAAATACTATAAATCAAAATTTATTTTCTTTAGATAACCATCTTTTCTTTGACATCAATTCTAATTTGCTCTTCTATTCCTAATGATTATGATCAAAACCGCTTAAAAAACCAAGAATACAACAAATATGTCATTGTTGATTGATACATACAACAATTGTTAGTGAAACAGAAGAAAAATATTACGGCACGCAGACAAGCACAACGCCTCCACAAACAATTAAAGCGAAGATAATAAATGGCAGATATTCTCATTCATTCAACAGTACCATCTCTCTTTACCCATACTGAATCTGCATCAAATATTTTTGCTGATACCCCAACAGAAAACTCTCATACTGACAATAAATACAATAATCATATTACGCGATTACGTAATGTATTCACAGAACATTCATTAATATCAAATAATTTAAATTCGAACAGCGATCCATCGAATTCATCGTTAAAAGTTGACGATTATACAACACGTTTTAGTAGGACAAAAGAAATGTTTAGAAGATTAGAAGCAAAATCAATAAGTAATAATCCACCATTATTTACGACAAAACCAATGACTAATAATCAACAAGAACGTATTCGTGATATGTCTATACATTTTATTGGTACATCATCGAATTCAATTGCGAATTATAATGACGATGTTCCTTATGCAGTTATTAATCGAAAATATTCAAATTCAGAACAACATAATGATTTTCTTGCTGATGCTATTGAACAATATAAAAAACAACATCAACAACGGGATGAGAATGATCGAACCAGTCTTTCATCAACATCACCAAGTAAACAAATGAAAACTCGTGGTGTTCCATTACTTGTACCATCAAGTGTGCTTAAACGTATGGATCACCTTAATACAATTTTTATTAAACCAACAAAAATTGAACGATCATTACCAAAATTAATCTTTCAAGATGATGAAATACAAGAAGAATCGAAATCAATTGAAAATACAATAGTTAATGGTAAATAAATATTTTTAAAGCCTACAGTTTCTTTTTATCTGTTGATATAAGACCTTATAAATATGAAAGAAATTAATCTCATTGAAATAATTAAGCAGTTCATACTTGGGGGCGTCAATAAGTTTTCTCTCAAAACATAGAATATGTTATTACACATATATCGAAGAGAAGAATAACATACTTCATAACGCCTACAATTCGTCTTATCATCATAGGACATGACAAACATTTCTACGTGTCATCATATCATGTCCAACGAATCGCAACAATAGCAGATGACATTATTCTTGATTATCTGAATACTTTTGTTAGATGTGTAGTAGATGAAGGAAAATGGCTTTAGATTTCTTGTTAAGGAATTGAATAATAATCATGCTTTATTATATTTAGAATCGGATTATGTACAAGATGACGATGATAGGGAATCATCACCACTTTTTTATGAAAAACCAGGCATGTCCGAACTCGATGATGATAATCAGGACTCTTCAAATGGTACTAGACGAGTGAAATTTAGTAGTGCACCAATTCGAGTAAGATCAAATCATTTCTTTTTTAGAAAAAAAATGAAATCGCTGATTATTTAGGTTTATCGAACATATTCAGCAAATGAATATGATCGACGAAATGATGATATTAATCCATTTTTAGCAACAGCGGAATATGAATTAGAAAAACGAATTGAAAAAATGGATGTTTTTCCTGTTGAAATAGAAAAAGGTACATTGAAAAATATAACTATTCCTTTTAATGATGATCTTTTTTTTAGGCCCTGATGGTCTTGGCATAAGGTATGAAATTTTGTGATTGGTGGAACTCGTTGATTGTTTTCTTTTTTAGTGTATTGGGCATGGGTGTAGGTGCTGACACTGGCTTAGAGAAATTAGGTATTTTTGTAAAATCCCTTAATCCTCAAGGTGTAGTGGCTAAAGATGGAAGGTAATTTTTTTTCTGTCTTTATATTCAATTTTGATTTTTGTTTTTCGAATAGAATTCAAGTCGGTGATCAAATCATCGAAGTAAATGATCATTCACTTGTTGGTGTTACACATGCATATGCTAAAAATGTTCTTAAATCAGCATCTGGTTTAGTAGAGTATGATTTAGTCTTTTTATTCTACATTTTTAAATATAAAGTTTAGATTTTTAATTGGTCGAGAAAAAGATTTTGAAAATTCAGAAATTCCTGGTCTCATACAACGTTCATTACAATTAGATCAAGAACGTGAAGAAATGTCGCGAACATTGCAAAAATATCATGGAGAATATTATGAACAAAATCTTAGTGATCATGATACAATAGAAGACAATGAAGTAAGCGAATCATATGTTTGTTTCTTTAATTTTTTTTGCTTTGGTAACTTTTGTTTTACAGCAAATTGAACCGAAAGTTTCAAGTGAATTTGAAATTGAAATCCTTAAACAATGTTATGAATCATTAGAAGAAACATTAGAAAATACTGAAAAAGAAAAAGAACAGTATCAAGTAAATTAATTTTTATATCGCTAAAATTGTATCTTTTTTTTTTCTTGCATTTATTTAGCAACTTTATCAACAAATGCAAAATGATTTCAAACAAATCAAAGAAAAATATGTTAAAGCAAAAATCTTAATTAAAGAATTGCAAGATCGGTATGTAAAAAACAAAGTAATTTCTCTTGTAAAATTTAAATGATGATAATCCTTCTTAATTAAAAGAAACAAATAAAATATAGTACGTATTCAGGTGTTGGTCAAAACTAAAAGTATTGCTTTCTGTTCACTATGTGCACATGTGACAAATAATAGCTATTTTTTGTTTCATATTTTATATTTCTTTAACTATATTTGTGTCTCTTTGTTCATTAGAGAAACAGAATTACGTCAACAACAAACGGATTTAAATGAACAACAAGAAAAACGTATCAATGAACTGATAAAAAAGGTCTGTGATTATGAATAAACACATGAGAATTGTTTTACGCTATATAATTACATAGAGAATTTTAAAAAATGTCAAGGTATTGGATATGAATGAAAGTATTCATGTTTTTCCTTCAGTTTAGATAGTATGACTCAGGTAGAGCGATTCATGTATAAGCATAAAATTAGAAAAGAAAAAGAAAACATTGGTTACTCGAGTAAATATAGGTCATACCATGTTTGATAAACAATATTAACAAGAAAATCTCATCATATGATCAATTATTTATGATATGATTCTTTCCTTCATTAGATAGCTCCCATTGAGAGAGTAAAGAAAACATAATAAAGATTCGTGTCCATGAATGTTCTTCTTCGGTTACGATTGTTTTAATGAACTTCTCGACAAAATGCCGTGATCTTTATTGGATCATTTTCAAATCTGGCTTTTGAATGCAAACTTTCTAGTATTTCCTACTAATATTGAAAATTCTGGTTTTGCGTATAAGAAATCTTTGTTCTTATATTTTTGTAGAATTTAAACTCGAAAGTTGATTTCGAAAGTAATTTTAGAAGGATATGATATTTCGTTGAAAAATGAATAATAATGTTCACAACTCAAGAAGAAAGGTTTATGAGCAAAAGCCCTTTTTTGTTTTTCTTTAATTTCAATAGAACCTGTCTAATGAGATAAGACTTATCTTATGAATGATTTATTACTTATGGAGATTCCCTGGTGAGAGTCTAAGACTGATACCTTACAATCTATTGCTCTAGTGATTTTCACGTAAGACTGTTTTTTTTTGTTAGTCTACTTTTTCATATGTTCTTCTGCACAAAGAAATCTCAAAGAAAACCTATCTATATGTTAAAGACAAGAAAGCAATGCTTCATATGATATCCACGTATGAGAAAGCTACCCCAACTATAAGTCACTGTTTGAATTTATATTGAGACCATAAGAAGATCTTGATAAGACTAAAAAAAAATCTAAAAGGGTTCGCTCCAATGGCTGTCGACAAGCAAGTTTTAACCATTTTAGTGAGTTTTTCAACACCTTTTAGGTATTTACTGAAGAATCAACTAGCAAAATTTCGGTCTGAAACTCACTCTATAGATAGGTCTAATAACTCTTAAAATATTATGAACTTTCAGTCGAAAAGAACATTTCTTTGTCGAGATATTGAATTTCCAACTAATAGTCGCTTGCCATAGACATGTCAGAAAAGACGAGTTTACTTGAATATTCAATATCTCGCGAAAGGAACAGTCTTTTTTGCTGAAACTTTCATAATATTCTACTATTCATTAGATTTATCAATGGGAAAAATTACAAATCTAAATTCCATTATTTGATTCTCCAGTAAATACATAAAACATGGACCAAGAATTTCATAAAACGGTCAATAATTATGAGCTCAAACTGTAAGTTATACAGTTTGAATAGATCTCTCAATTGTACGTAGAAGCGTCCACTCAATGTGGTGACATTGCATTTGAGATTCGCTATAAGAAACAAATATCTTACTCGACAATGCCTATGTTTTCGAAAAAAATATATTTATCAGTAAAAAAGTGGAAATAGAACATATAGAAGTAAGATGAAAAAAATAAGAATTTATCTATTTTTTTTTTAGGTTGAAGACCTTGAAAATACCATTGCTACTTTAATAGCGAAATCTGAAGATATTTCAGTACCCAAAGTGAATGAAAGTATTGTGTCAGAATCGTCTGATATACCGGAATGTATATTGAATCGAACACATACACGTTCTAGTCAACAATTGACTTCCACAGATCGACATTCTATTGCAACATCATCTGTTCGGTTTCCTTCAATATCATTAGACAAAATACCAACATGTGCGGAACAAACAGAAGAATCTTGTCAAATTGGTATATATATTCATCAGCAAAGTTTACGTCTAGATTCAATTGAAATTTTTCTCTTATTTTTAGTTTCTAATAACAATACATCAACTGATCAGATTGATACTGAGGTTGATCGAAATTCATTAATGAATCAAACTCATGTAACCAATACATACTCAAACAACTTATCATTGAAACATTTATCTACTCACTCACTTGGTGAAGTTTTGAATGATTGTGATATTATCTAGTAAATAATAATAATAATAATAATAAATAAAAGGATTATTTATTGATGATTTATATTTTTTTTAGTAATAAAACTTATTTGTCAAAAGTCCCATCATTAGAACAAACAAGTAAAATGATGATTGTCATATTTAAATTATATGTTCTTGTTTTTGTTCTTGGTTTTATAGGTAGTGATGGCTTTTCAAATGATGAGGTAAATTGATAGTTAATAGTAGATTTCTAATCATTTCTTTTAAAGCATGTTAAAATAAAAAATTGGACATCTGATCAATGTATTCAATGGTTAACAGCTCAAGGAATGACATCGTTAATTCCTATATTTCTCAATCGTAGCATTGATGGTGAAAAACTATTATTACTTGATAGTACAAAAATGAAGGTAAACAATCTTTTGATTAGAAGATTTTTGTTTTTATTGATATTATTCTAGGCAATGGGTATAAAATCAAGTAAAGATCGTGATCAATTAAAAGCAAAAATCAAAGAACTTAAGCATGCTGAATATAGTCGATTGCGTGAACGACTTAGCCAATCATTACCATTTCATCGATTAGCAAATAATGGAAGCCGATTACGTTCATCAAGTCTGACGAAATTGAAAGAACGAAGATTTTTTAGTAGTAGTAGTGGAAAATAAACTTTTTTTTGTTGCTAACAGTTTTGAGTATCCGTCCTTGTCTTTTATCTCGTTATTTTTGTGAACAGTAATATTATGACATTCCTAGTTTGACAAAGACTTTGTTTTGTGATGATATTTGCGTGCTTTTGTTTAGTAATATTTTTTCTTGATCTGATGTATTAGACGTATACGAGTGATTAATATTCTCATTTTTGAACTGAATAAAATAATTTGACAATGATAAATTTTTAAAAAATCTCAGTATATGATATATTTCAGCGTAGTTGCAGATGTTTAATTTTTAAAAGATGGTTGATGGACGACAATCAAATACACATTCAAGACGTACGAATTATTCGTACATTGAAGAACAAAATGAAGCACGAACAGAATTACTTAATTCAAAAGTAAATCAACTTAAACATTTGGCTGTGCAAATTGGTGAAGAAACTAAATTTCAAAATAAATATTTAAAGGTTAGAATTGATCATTCTTTTTTTCTTCTCAGTATAATAAACTTCTGAAAATCATACGATTTATAGTTCCTAGGAATATAAGCAAAACAAAAGAATATTAATCATTCATTCAGGTTATAATTTTTATTTGATTGCATTCAGCACAGACCATAATACAAAGAGTACGACTCCCACAATTAATAGAATAAGTTCACTGATAATATTTTCTATCTCGACAATATAAAAGTAGACAGAAAATTAGTACAACGATAATGCAAAAATCGTTTGTTTATTAGTTATAGTGTCAGATTAGCACATTATCCCGTTTGACCAATTGGTATGATGGAAAAACGTCGAAATAAAACTATAGAAAAGAAACATTTCGAAAGAAAAAAATGTTTTGAGAATAAGAAAGATCTTCAACAATGATAAAATTTTATTGATTACGTAAATAAGAGAACAGTATCATTAATAGTCTGATTGATTTGTGATAACACAGGATAATTCATCGAAGAGTTCATCAATAAGAATATTGCCGTGTACATAACATAAACATAAAGTATCAATTTATTGCTGTATTGCGTTTGTCGTAGTTGTTTTTAATCTAGTTACTAGACTACCTCTCATTTAAATTAGCATCTGATTAAATCTGTTTCCTTCTCCTTGTTGAAAACATTGGATTTCAGCTACATCTTATCATCATAATGTTCGATTTTTTTTGCGTGTCGGCATTTTACCTCTCTGTGTGTTTTCATCCATTCGATAAATTTTAAATTTGATCTTACTGTTGCTATCTGATTATGTAATGACCTGTTCATTTATTTTCATAATTAACTCGATTCATAATTGACTGTATAGCATAGAAAAAAAAGCAAATCGTTTTAATAATAACATGTAATATATTAGAGTTCCACATCAATATCTTAATTCTAGTGTACTATCCATTTCGAAATATAATGTATTCTACTGTTTTTTTAATAACTTTTGATACAAACCTCATAGAGAACTGCAGTTTTCACCATTCAAGAGAGAGGACCTGGATCATCAAACTATATCGAAATTTGATTGGTCAACAATTGCCTCACCAGACGGATTTTTGATAAAGATTTTCGAAAACAAAATTCTGAAACTATTTTCCTTTGAATTGAAACTTTTAATAGAATGGCTCGATAGAAAAATTCTTCTCTTTCGATCTACGTAAGATCGACATTTTTAGCTTGCCCTGTTCGAGAATTATAAGATTTTTCTTAAGACCACTGACTTCAGTCAATTTACCTATGACCAACTAAAATAGCAGCTAGGTTGGGATAATTCATCATGCTGAGTTGAACGGTAATATTTTTTTTTAGATTCGAACTAATGTGGCGTTGTTATCTCAATATTTGTGAAATGTCGGCTTCTTCATTCCATAGAGGTTGATTGTAGAATTCTATAAATATTGAGATAACAGTGTTAAATTAGTTTGAATCTAAAAATAAATATCACCATTAGAGTCAGAATGGTGAATTATCACTGACTAACTACTTTTTCGGATTGTCACAGGTTAATCGGCTGAAATCGGACGTCTTAGAAACAATTTTATGACTTTCCAATGAACAAGCTAGGTTTGCTGGTCTTACTTAGATCGAAAAAAGAAGAATGTTCTCTATTGAGCCGTCTTATTAAAAGACTAAGTTGAAAGGAAAATAGCTTTAGAATATCTTTTTTGAAAACCTACAACAAGAACTCACTTGATTGATCAATTGGTAACCAGTCAAATTTCAATATACTTCATTGGTCCTGGATCTTCTCTCTTGAATCGTGAAAACATAAGGTCTCTATGATGTTTCTATTAAAAATTATTCAAAAACCAGTGGAGCACATTGTATTCTGAAACAGATAGTAGTTGTTCAAACAGCAAAATCAATTTTTGTTTTTCATTTGTTTAGGAAATACATGATAACATGGATCATACGGACAGTTTAGTTGCTCAAGCACGTCGACGTGTTGTTTTATTGGCTCGATCGGGTAGTTGGAAAATATATTTATATCTATTACTTTTTGCTCTATTTGTTTTTCTTGTTATTTATTTTTTGATTAAACGATAGTTACATGAGACAAAGAAAGATGAATGCTTAAATTATATCGTTCTTTGCAATGATTGCAATAAAAATATATACATTATTTGTTTTTTTGTATAAATATTTTAACGTGACGGAAAAACATTTTTGTCAAATTCACCAAGAAAATTTCCTGCTGGATAATATATAGCTACAGCAAAATTCATTGATGTGCCTTGTGCTCGTGCAAATCCAACTTCTTGAGAATTTTTCCATACAACTTGAGTAAAATGGCCAGTTCCGGATTGACAGGATTGATGATTATTATAATCATATTTATTACATTCATTATACCATGCTTCAGTCATTTCTTTGCCTAAAAATGAATTTATTTTAAAAAAAATAAGACGAGACAGAAAAACAGTATGCACCTGTTATTGGCCATGATTGACTACGAAGATTTTCACCAACATGTACATTTTGATATTTTGTTTTGCTATGTAAAAGCGTTCCAGTTGAAGCTAAATGATTAGCTAAAATCAAATATGCAATAAATAATTTATGTGACAAGAATGCTAATTTATGATTTACCCCATTCTTGTGCTAGTTTTGATAAATCATTATTTAGTCGTAAAGGTTCAACACTATGTTTTCGTCTATATTCATTATGTACTTGCAATGCTTCTTGAACAAATTCATTATTATTTTGAGTTACTGTTGAACGTTTAGCAGCTGTTGATGACTGAGAACCTTTAGTTAGATTCGTCCATGATGAAAAACCGAATCGATTCATATCGGGTACATTATTATCACGTAAACGTAAATCTCTCATAAGCTATTACATAAGATTTAAGAATAAGAAAAGCTTATGATATCAAAGTAACTCACATTGACTGCATCATCGTCAACAACTTCGACAGTTTCTGTATGTGTTTTACCATCGGAACCTGTTACAGTTCTTGTTATTTTATAATGAGCACGACCATCGGTGATTGGACGTAACGATGAAGTATTATTGGCACTACTCATTGATGTTTCTTGTTGTATAAAAGAATTTGTATAAAACAATAATATTGTTCCGACAAAGAACCGTTGTCTTTTTTCTGCGTATTACTCTTTGACTGAATCCAACAGTTAATAAGCAAATCACTTTACAGATTCGCAGTTTTATATTATGGACGATGAATCAACTCAATAAAAAAATTGGAATGAATGTCGCATATCGCATTATAAGCATAATTACATAAAAACAAAATGTCAAGTACTTTTATCTCTTTATTTTGAATGTAATTTATGCGTGTCTAAATAAATTTATGATGTGTATAGAATAAACTTTTTAGGAACAAGAACCTATTGTTTGTGGACAAAGAGAACAAAACTTCTTTCATTATTCGAATGAAATAAAATAATCTTAATAATAAACATAATCACATCTATATGTAAAAAAAATATCATTATCATCGATTACCTATATTCACGAGTTCGAATGTTTTACGAATTGATATATAACGAAATTGTGGAAAGTTTTTATCCTCATGTAACTATCGTTTCCCATGTCATCGATAACAGTCAAATGGTGTCGTAATATTGCCATTATTACGATCGCATGATGACTCCCTTTATCACTCTGCTATGTTCGCTATAGTGCAATATTATGGCAACATAAATCCATATGACACACTATAATGTAACATTTTCTTATATTTTGATGTTGCAATGTGCTTTTGTCCGCAGTAAATTCCAGTTATATTGAAAGGTTTATTTTCAAATTAGTTCAATAAATATCTTGTACTTTAGAACTTCTATTTGATCATACAAGAAGTCACCAATAATCAATAAGAGTTCGCACAATCTTCATGCATCATTCAAAGAGAAACAAGATTCATACACTGAAATACATAATTTGTTTTATGTAAAAAAAATATACTTTGTAAAAAAATGTAATAATTTAGCCCGAACATAGACTAAGGATATAAATATGGATCTTCTCTTCACATAGACCTAAACTCACTTTCATAGAGTCATTTTTCACTGTGTGCAACTATCTTGTTGCAAAGAACATTACGTAATATAGCAATAAATAGCGGTATCATTCTGTTCAGTAACGTCGTTCTATACGGTTTTGTTGCTAGAGCGGGACTACTGAATAAAGCAAGACTACATGAACTATTTTGTGTTTCTAACCTGACCTTCGACTATCTGATAGTATGCATCCCGTCTATTGGTAAAAAATCATTTTTTTAAAATTAATTTATTATTTTTAATGAGATAATTCTCTACGACACTTATAATAAAGAATCCGTATACGGATTTGTATTATCTTGAGAAAGATCGTGCATTACTACGTCTTGAAAATTTATGCGTATTGACAAAATCGAAATAGATTTTACTTATGACTAATGTTAATGATCATGCATAATAGTCGTTTGGTGTCAATGTTATGTACATTTTTCGATGTTATCTGTGGTAGCAATATGATTGTTCGAATTGATGATATTACAAAACAACATAATAATTATTTGTATGCATCGATGAGTGTCCGATAGATATTCTTTTTAAGTTATTGCATGTCAAATTACAAAGAAATAATGATTCAATCGACATTTAAGTTTAATTTTGATTATTTCATTCAATAATACAAAATGATCAATAATGAAATCACTATTTGTGCATCGAAAACTAGAATTGTTTTTTAAATCCTACCGAATAAAATATTATTTTGTTCAAAAAACAGACTATGAAGAGACATTCTATTTGTTCATATGATGAATTTTCAAGTAATTATACTTTCTTTTTGAGCAAGAGAACTTTATTAAAGAAATAGAAAAATTATACTTCTTTATAATAGGCACAAATATAAATCAAGATAATGCAAGTTAAGCAAGTATGATATGTTCTCGAAATATCCTTACATTGGTTTTAGTTGTATTAACAGCCCATCGGGTATGACTGCTACTCTCACAGTTGTAAAAATTTCAATTCTATCATTCAGTATTATATTACAGATTCGTTTTGATCGACTACCAACTGTTTCACCTTGACTTTTATAAGTACCAGGCTGCTGTCGACATTGAAGAACAATCTTCGCCTGATGCCATTGACCATTGCTGACTTGATACGCATACATCTCACAGCAACAATCCAAACTCGAATACTTCATTGTCGGTGAAGTATAAACTTGATTTTTGCCAGGTATATGATCTGTACGAATACCAATTACTGTTCCATCATCACACGTATCACTACCAGATAAAAAAATTGACGATGAGCAATAATAGATTTAGCTGCTGATAGTTTTGTTCCATGATACGTAACAATTCATGTATTTCAAAGATTTTCACGATTTGCTTTAACTTCATCAACATATAGACTAAAACGAACCCACTCTCGAGGAATAACATAGGATTTACCAGTCGTTATATATACATCTTCATAATTCTCTGGATAACATTTGAGAACAATAATAACAATTAAAACGATAATTGAAATATTGTTGTGGTCAATTAACAGACCATACATATTCACGGCGAAGTTTTTGATATAAGCAAAATCTTGGTTTGCTCGATGTTCGTTCTCAGGTGAACCTTGATTCTGGAAATATACCATCACGACAACATGTTGATGGAGATGATATTTCTTCTTCAATTAGCTGAGATCGAGAGGCAAAGCTAGCAATAGACATATCTGTTGTGTCTCTACGAAAAGTAAGTGTGTAGTCGTGTGCATCAGTTGGCTGCTTGTATTTACGAGGCATTCGCGGAGTAGAGACTTCGGAATCTACTGGATACAAACTTTTCCCTATTTCAAATGAACGTATGTATATGGAAGTATCCATTCGAAGTGCTCGTTGATGTAATAAATCTTTTGTTCTTACTGGACGGAATGGAGTCTGACAATCATATGTATCGGCCTTAAGAAATGTTCTTCGTGAATACAACGAAGTGTGACGGTCACTTCAATGGGACTTTGCCAACAAATCAGCGCCACAGTTATTGCAAGAAAAAGGAAGCCATCTTCTACTCAGTTTTGGCGCAAAATTAATTTCATTGCAATACTTACATTCAATATTCATATCAAATTTCAGTAATCTAAAATAAGTCTCGGACTTTAAGTACGAAATTATATAATATTTAGAAAGTGCGTAATACTTTAAAATCTAGTAATACGTATGATTGAGTGTTTGATTGAGTGTAGGGGTTGAGTGTAGGGGTTGAAAGGACTCTACTCTCTAGACTTAGGTTTGTCATCCGAGCGGCCTAGGTTACTGTGACAAGGAGCATGTAGTTTTCCTCTTACAGTTTTACAGTGCGTTCAGGAACAGACAACCTGAATAATATACTGCTGTGATTCTGTTTGAATCTGTAATTAGGCTATTTATTTTTGAACATCAACGATTATGCTTTCATTCAAGAAGACGCTGGTCAGGGATGTTCCAGCATCTACAGAATCTCATTGCTAACTCGCAGTATTGAAAGATGTTTGTGAGCTATCTATGATCACTTTCTCTTGTTTTTGTATTAGCCAACTACCAACAAGATTCGAAAATTTATTGGATGCATAATGAGATTGAGAAAAGCGTATGAATGTACGATTTTTTAAATATAGTTAATGATCTTCATTGTGCACCGTGAGGCAAGAGAAATATATTTAGTTGAGTTTAAATTGCAGAAGAAAAAAAACTTCGTTAGGCAAAATGGAATGTATAACGTACTGTTTCTAGTTGGAAAAAGCCGAGAGTACTTCGTCGAAAAAAAATAAAATTTTTTTTTGACGATGCGAAGAAGTATTGTAACACTCATGTTTTCTGAATGTGCTGTCGCACTTTATGTTATGTTAGAAGTAAGAGAGAAGATTCCATTTGGGCTCCTGCAGAAAATATAGGACTGCTTTTATATATATTTTTTTCCAATTATTCTGCCATAAGCAAATATATGACGATAGAAAGAAAGAGAGAATAACAAGGAAAACAATTTTATTTTTTTAAATGAAGAACAAATCTTTTTTTAAAAAGTGTTATCAAGTGAACCTAGCATATTTTGTTTTCCGACTAAAACCATCTTTTACAAGTTTATTAATGTTTTCTAGTTGTATGTTTAGAATTATTCGATGATACTGATATAGAACAAATTAATTGTATAAAAATTTAGTTAGAAATTGACCATCGTTGAACTATGTCATTAAAATCTAAAACACATGGTAAGTTGAGAAGTTTAACGAGTACGCGATATATTTTCAATTCTTAATTTTCTTGCTTAGATTTGACTGACATAGTGGGGTCTAGACATCGGATGTACACTTGCAATACTGCTACTGATTGTGAGTTGGGGATATTTTATAAAATAACTGTATGATTATTGTACTCAAGTGCAGCTGCCCCCACTACGCTCATCGCCATTGGAGAATCCGCAATCTTGATCGTCAGTATGAGTAGTAAATCCTCAACCCAGAGGTAAGCCACCAAAAGTGTAATTCTTATCATATGCTGGCTGAATTTTTTTCTTTTTATTATCTCACCCCCTTTGATACGTCTACGAAGTTCTCATCGAATAATACACCTCAAGATTTCGTCTCAGCGTTTTGCACATTTCTTATCGTATTGCTACTAAAATTTCTGTTTTGACTTTTTAAAGTTTCTAGACTCATATTCAACTCATCCAACAAGAGTTCCTATACCTGATGACTCAGCTCCA